TGCTCTGTAAATTAAAGATTAAAGCTGTGCTGTGCAGCATTTTTGTGAGCAAACAACAGTTTTTGTGTTCAGCATTTCTCTTAAGCACACATTATTTGTGTCTTTAAGGCCTTAAACATTTTTAGTGCATTTCTGCTGCTCTCAAGTTTATGGGGTAATTCTTGACTTGCTACTTGTTGGTCTTTAATCCATTAGCATTTTCTGGACTATAGTTTTTCTGCTCATCGGTCAGCCATTTATTTTCATTTTTCAGACATTTATCACTACTGCAGGAAAATCGAAAAGAATCCTGGTAAGAACAGGAAAAAAAAAGCTGAGTAAAAACCCCCAATGAAATATCCCACTCTGATATCACTTAGTGTGCAGCATACCAGTGTGGTATTTTTATTATTTGCAATTCAAATTCCTTTAAGTTGACTTTTATATGTAACACCAGCTAAAATAGTTCCTTACAATTAGTTCTAGGAAAAAAATACATTTTTCAGTAAACATCTAAATTTAAATGTAAATTTTTTATTTTTTTTTACTCCCCCCCCCCCCCCCCCCCATAGTTTTCTTACGGTGAATGGCAAGCTGCACATAAATACTAGCAGTCTCCCAATGGATGCTGATTGGTTGGTTAATCATTTCTAACATGAAGTACCCCTTTGGTGTACATTTTCCAAACAAATAAACATACTGCCGGTCACCAGGTCTACCCGTTGATGTCTGAACTTGACCTTGAGTTCAAGGTCACCAGTATTTGTACTGGTTTGAGATTTTTCATAGATGCACCTGCCTTTCAAAGTCCTACATCGACTTGTTTTGGAGATATCTCATTCACAACTTTGGTGTCCACGCCACTTGCCCAGCGGGGTGACGTCTATACCCCATAACCCTTTTATGTCTGAGGGGTAACTCATATGGATGTAAAAGAAAGCGCTGATTCGGATTGTCAAAAGTGTTGCTGTCAGGAGTTTGCTGCTAAAGTGAATTACGGTGCTGTGACATCACATATAGTCTCAGAATCGTATTTCACGCTAATCAAAACCCAAAACACAAAAACGTTAGAAACACGGAACCACCATGTTTTGAAACTTGATGAAAAATTTCCTGTTTGCCCCATGAAATTTACACCTCCATCAGACTGGCTCACAAACCTCCCAGTGGACCAGGAAGTCCAGAGGGTGGGCAGTTCTCTAGTGTTATGGAGTGCTGGGGTAAAATTAAAACGTGTGACTGTGCTGTTTTGCTTTCAGGAAGCTGGCGGTGTTTGATACGTGGAGCAAAGTAGTTGTACACGTGGCGATGGACAACACTGTGGTCATCGAGGAGATCAGTGAGTGCAGCTGTGTTGCAACTGTGGACTGTTTACACAGTTCCTGTTTGACCAAATCTAACAGTTTCTGTGTGTAAACATCTACAGATTGATATGAGTCTCTGCAAAGAAACCAAGTTCATCCAAAGACAGAGTTATGCTGCTACTTAATTTACCAGTAGCAGCATAACTCTACACAGACCTAATTTGTATCTGGTGTAGTTTTCCTTCACTGTAATGTACTGGCAGCATGGTCGACAGTAATCTGAGTAATTTTCTGGTTTTTGTGATCATTTTTCTGTAGAGCGCCTTTGCATGCCCTGGCTGGATGCTGCAGGAGCCTATGGAGAATCGGAGGGAGTTGGAGAGCTTAATGGATGCCTGGAGGGAGCGTGTGCCATGGCTGAGGAGGAGACGGCGCTCTGGAGACCTCTGGTACTGCTCATCCCCCTCAGGCTGGGCCTGAGCGATATAAATGATGCCTACATTGATACCCTCAAGGTGAGAAACTAGCATGTACAGCATAATGACACAACTAATTCTGTGAGTAGTTATGGCCACTGTATCATGAAAAATGAGCACTGTCAGTGCAGATGTGATTTGCAAAATGGGAAAAATGACAGATAACCACAAAGAAATGACATAATGACGAACTGTAGAATGTGAGGCATTTAGAAATCAGAAATCCAATACTGTTAAGGAGAATCACACATGAAGGAAGTAGCAGCGTAGAGACCTTAGAAATCAATGACACTGAGCCCAGACTACAGCTGATATAACTGTTGGTGAATTAAAGTGGGCTCAGGCAAAACTATTCTAAACTACAAGGCAAGGGAAATGACAACCAGTGAGAGCAAATGATACAGTTGACTGACACGCAACAGCTTGGTACACACATTTACAGACGGTTACCTAGGCAACTGGAGCCTGGAGCAAGTGTGACCAACCACCAGTCAGAAAGTCATGCAGGATGTCTGTCTTTGGATGCTCTTTTATGTTAGTGACCAGGAAAATAACTATTTAAAAGTTACGACAGTCTGAGCATGTAGTGTCCTCGGCTTTTCAGTCAGATAATGGATGTAGTCTCCGTGTGCCTGACTTTTATCCGTACTAAAACTCTAAAAGGGTTGTGGGTAGTGCAGATGCCTGTTTGGGAACAAGATAAATAATTCATCAGCAGTGCCAAGATACAAAAGTATTCAAAAGCAGCTTCTGCTAATTTAAATCTCTATCCACTTCCAGAATTACAAGCCACTTCCACAGATTCAATAATCTCAGTGCTGTAGAATTTATGTACGGCCTCCCACTGCCCGCTTCTCAATCCCAGCGTCTAACACATGGAGTAAAAAGCACATCTCTGTTCAGCTGAAACGGAAATAAAAAGCTTCATTATTAATTTAATGACCCCTCATGACTGACAGCATTATGGGATCAACAATGCAAGAACGGTACCTGAATAAAACTCCCGTTAAGTTATCATAGATTTTAATTTAGGGAAAGGGATTTTAAGGAGACATTCAGTGCCAGCATGGTGTATATATATATATATATATAAGCCAAATTCAGCCACAGCTGGGGTGAGATAAACCCTCTTGTCTCTTTTCACAGCAATGCTTCATGCTGCCTCAGTCCCTTGGTGTTATTGGGGGAAAACCCAACAGTGCCCATTACTTCATTGGTTATGTCGGTATGTCTAGTCTCTGTGTTTGTGAAATAAACTGTGCATTCTAAACAGCTCATGTTCATCATGTGATTCTTTTTTTTCCTTCTCTTCTTAAACACCTTCATTAAGTTACCCGCTTGGGTCTGAACACGTGTTTTTGTCCCCAGGAGAAGAACTCATCTATTTAGACCCACACACCACACAGCCTGCAGTGGAGCCGTCTGAAGACAGTCAGGTCCCCGATGAGACGTACCACTGCCAGCACCCACCCTGTCGCATGCACATCTGTGAACTGGACCCATCCATCGCAGCGGTAGGACTGCCAGGGAGAGTTTGACAGTGCAGAGCTCTTAGAACAGTCTTCGTCTCTTAGACCAGCGGTCCCCAACCTTTTTTTGCGCCACGGAGCAGTTTATGTCTGACAGTATTTTCCTCCGTACAGTAAAGAGGATAATAAAGGGGAAAACAGATTACCCACTTACTAAAGAAAAAGATCCATAGCTGAACCTTCCATTAGGTTAACAAATGTTAACAGATCTCATCCCAAGTTTGTCCAGCATTTGTTGGAAAGTATGAAAGAGCCTGATAAGGTAGTGGAGGCATGTAAAGAGCTAGTGGAATAACGATGGGCTTGGAAAAAATGTCATACTGTGTCCAGATGCTGCCAAAGACCTTTCAGAAGTGCCTCCGGCTGATACAACAATCAACAGAACAACATATCGGATGACACACAGGCTGTTGTGTGCAGATATGAATATTAATAGTTAGACATAAATGTGTTTTCTGTGCTCTTCCAGGGTTTCTTCTGCAGAACAGAGGATGAGTTTGATGACTGGTGTATGCGCATAAGAAGGGTGTGTCTCTCTCTGTCTGTAACATTAATTTTTGTTTATTACAACTTAATAAAGGCATCGCTGTGTTTTTGGAATATCGCAAAAATAATTGTCCTTGTCTTGTAGCTGTCCTGCAACAGAGGGACCCTGCCTATGTTCGAACTCGTAGACAGCCAGCCCTCTCATATGGTCAGCGTGGACACCCTTAACCTTACTCCTGGTAAATATACTGCAAATTATTTTCTTAAATATGCTAAAAACGAATTCAACTCTGTGAGGGGAGTGTTGTAGCTACTCTTTAGCTCTTTCTTTTGGGAGAAAAAAAAGCAAGAGGACGTTTTGGTAAGAAAAGTTAGTTTTTGATGGGCGTTAACAAAAAACCCCCCAAACAAAAAATGTTTGTTTTTTTTGTTTTTTTACCCCCCTTTAAGAGGGGGGCCAGTGGCAATAATGCTACACTGATTGGTCGTAAAGCTCACCAAACAAGAAAATGCATGACAGCAAGGAAGATGTGTGAATCCCCCTAAAGATAAATAAAACACTGTTTCTGGAGTCTTAACTCACAGAGTTAATAAACATTAATTTTAAATTTTCTTTAAAATTTTCCTTTGCAGATTTCTCAGACTCAGACAGGTTGGAGCGATTCTTCGATTCAGAGGACGAGGAATTTGAAATCCTTTCCCTGTGACGAACATAACGAACAATGATTTGCTGTTCTCGATGGCGGACGGAAGATTCACCGTGTCTTCTCTGAATCAGAAGGGAAGCCTGAGTGAAGGAACGTGAACTGGAAAACTCTTGAGCCAGTCCAGCTCCAGTGATGTAGTCAGTGTGTGGCACACAGCCTCCGAATGCTCCATCATTGAGACTGCCTGAGGGAGGGGAGGGGGGTGGAGGGGAGCTGTAGCAGGAGCTCAGGATAAATTCTGTATGCACATCTTCACATACACGTGTTTCCATTTAAGTCTTAACACTTTTAAATGTTTCTTCTGAAGTGATATGGTGCCTTTCCCTGACTCCATTAGTAAAATTGCCATAACAGTTTTATGTTGTGTAGAAACACGGTGCGGTCATGATGCCCACGGCTTACGCGGTTTGTCACTAATAACTGACGTCTGTAACAGCCTGTAACGAAACCAAATTTAGTCAAATCTGAAGACAAGTTGTCTTAGTTGTATCCTCGCCAAGTCTGAAACATATACACTCATCCATTGGAAGATTATTTATTTAATCAAAGCAGTATATAGGCAGGTGACAGAACAATAGTTATGTAAAAGAATGAAAAAAGCAAAAATAAAAAGAGCTGAATTTCAATTTGTATAGCTCTCTTGACTTGTACAAGTGTGGGACGTAATATTTTACTCAAGTAAACGTGTGGGATGAAGTTTGTGGGGTGCAGGAGAGGACTTTAGTTTTGAAGAGTTTCACTCCAGAGCTCTCCGAGCGGCAGGTTCTGTGCTTTGTTGATGGCATTGAGGCTGTGGGCTGTGATGTCTTTGTGAACATTTTCAATATTCTGTGCTGCATCGATCACCTGAGGAAGAAAATTTCGATAATTAGAACAAATCGGCGACTTTAGTCTTTTTCCAGATAGTTTAACGTTAATAAGATGCAACGAAGAGACTGTGGAGGTGCTTTCACACAGGAGGCAGCATTGGAGTGCTTGCAGACACCGCTGCCACAGTTCAGCAAATATAAACTTGGACTGCACTAAAGTAGAAAGAAGACATCCAGCAGACAGAGTGGAAAAGTTCATATCAGAACCACAGGAGGAAAAGACTTCCTTGGAAACGGGTTTCCATCCAAATAGATGCGGCTGTGGAGTTTAACGGTGGTGAAGCTTTGCCTGTTTAGCTCTTTGCTCTGCAGCTCGCTGATTCTAGTAGTGAGCACAGCTCGGTGCATGATACGTCCTGTGTGAAAGCCCCATAAGAGAACCTCGGACTGCTTTCATAACTTTGTAAAAATGAAAACTATCCAAGAATTCACATTCTGAATTCTTATTTCTAGAACAATAAATAACACTAGGCCCAAGATAAAGTAAGATAAAGCATACTCTCATTGTTCACAGTATTTATTCACTTCAGTCATTGCAGTGCAAGTCAAGCTTTATACTCTCACCAACACCTGTCAGTGTGGAGTGGACCTGATGAAGACAGGTGGAGTAAAATAACCCTGGAGGTGGTAACATGATACATTACTGTATGTGATGGCACAGACTGATCAGGAAAAGGAGGCCAGTGCAACTATAAAGACATGAAGAAAAGCTGTTGGTGTCGCAGGCACGAAATAGAGTTTAGGCGGTGCTTTGCAGCTGACAGGTGGCACCTGATCACACAGATATCGGCCCGATGCATCCCCGTTTTAAACATCCTGTCGGAATAAATCTTCCATTCAGGCTTCCCTCATACCTGCCAGTTTACTGTCTGATCCTTCATCAGCTGTTCAAACCGCTGTTGCACTGTTCTTTGGAAGACGCTCGTCTCGTATCTCTCTTGCCCAAACTGTCCTCTGAGAGCAGCCTCGGCCGGGTTCAGCTGCAGAAACATTACGAGGTCTGGCTTTGGCAGTCCCACATCAGGCTGCATGCACCAGTCCAGGCGGAAGCCCTGAAGAAGACAAAAAACCTCCATCTGTCACGCTCGACTGCATGTTGCAATACCGAACTGATGGATGGAGTTTGAAAAGCAGAATAAATGCACTTACCGGCTTAGCGCTGGTGAAAGCAACTCCAGAGAAAGCATACCTGTCTACAACCAGAGTGATGCCTTGCTCCAGCTTCTTCTTCATTAAAGGCCTGTGGATTAGAATCTGTTAGGCTGTGTAAAGACTTAAAGGAAATGAAACAAAAATGTCAGCACATTTGATACAACCAGCAGTGTTTGCTGTCGTGTTTGCCAATCAGTCCATTTGCACTTAAAAAACTGGAGAAGGAACCAATGCAAATAATTTAAAAAAAGCGTGAAACTGAACTCACCACTATGCACTTTTAAGGACCTGTGATTTATAACATTCATAGCATGAAGTAAAAAAAAATGAACATGGCTTATCTAATTGTACTAAACTTGCTGTAAAAAAATAAATCAGCTGATTCTGAGGTGGGAAGCACTAACTGATTTTTTTCATAGAATGATTTTACTTTTTAGGAAACCTTAAAAATGTGATATTGATTTAGGAAATATTTAGTTGTGCATCAATAAACAGAGTCCGTACAGCCATAAGGCTCAAAGCCTGTGTTACAGGGTCTCAAACCATTTTAATTCACGTGCCACAGGCAGCCCAGTTTGATCTCAAGAGGATCAAACTGCTACAATTATCTGCAAATCATGACTTTTCTTTTAGTAAGTGTACATTATTAAAAAAAAACAAATTCACACGTAATAAGCTATTGATTCATAAAATTCACAATGAACTTTCTGGGGTGTCCTATAAAAGCTAACATCTGAGTTTTTCTACACAAAAAAAAAAATGCTACTGAAATAAATTAAACAAAGCCATCAATACAAATCACTGGGTTTCTGCTTTGTTAGCGTTTTGCTCAGAATTTGTCCCTTCATTTTTTTTAAAAGAAAGACAAGATCAGAAATCTTTGCTCCGTCTTCATCCACCCGTTTGTCTGCTTTAGGTTTTACACCTGACATTAAAACACTCGTCCAGCTGCTGATCACACTGTTGGGTTTTATTAGCCTGGTGTCTCCAGTTGAGCCAGACCATTAGTGTTTAGGCAAAGACATTTTGTTTTACACATATGCAGGTGTTACATTCTGTAAAATGCATTATATATGATTAAAATAATTTAACTGCAATAAGTATACACCTTTCATATAAATATATTCTATAACTTAACTATTTTCTTTAGCCCACATAATTATATATTTCAGTTACATAAAACATGTGAATTTTGATTTTATGTAGTGTATAGCCTATATAATAAAAATTAATGTAGCCCAATAACTATAAAAACCAGAAAGCTACAGAACATGGGGCGGTTCATTTACAATCACAAGTCTAACTTACGTTTCATAGTCATTTTTATATCAGAAATAATCTGATTGTTTTGTGCTTGAATGTAAACAAAATGCCAGAAATCTGCACTGTCATCAACACATTTATCACTAAACATTTAAACCTAATATTTCATGTTTTATTAGGTTAACCCTCTGGGGTCCAGGGTATAACTGCCATTTTTTAATAACAGCTTGATCTTTTTTTGCCTTGCTTAGTTTGGTGTCATTATTTTCAGCACAACCTCACATGTCTGAATTTACAGTTATTTTTTCATTGCTATACTGTAATAATACATGTGATCTGAAATCACAAAAAAATATGAAATCAGAGTCAGCAAAAGTTTATTTTTTACTGTAAAACCCACAAACATGTTTAGTTAATTATTTTCATAACTTGAAATGCAAATTAAATTGTACATTTTAAAAACCTATGCACAAATTTTGTAAACAAAGACATTTACAGAACAATCAGATGCCACACAAATTGATTGTGCCAGTGAAGTAGTCTGTCTGCCACAAAACACCACAGGCCTGCAGGCCTGACAATATGCAGTATATTCAGTTTTAGAATTTATATTCAGTGTTAATTGTAGCTAGGCTCAAGGTGTTAATGCTAGCTTCTTTTAATAAACAACACTGTCATATGCAAATTTGTGGTGGCAAGAGGTGGCACCCCTGTAGATCCGCCCCTGTTTAAGACTGCATGAAGTAAACCTAAAGCACTGAAAAGTCCAAACATGGACTGCTTCCCATTTTCTCTGTATCATTCCTCCTGTAGTGCCTGTCATCAGAGTAACTTGGGAACGTGTCACTTCCTACATGTTAGCTCGAGGATCAGTCCACTGACACTGATTTGCAGCCAATAGGAAGCCGACCTCATTAAAGGTACTGAACACACCTGAGATTTTTTTTTTTTACACAGATTTTCATTGGCACATATGTTCACACTAACGTAGAGAGTCTTACACCATCTCCCAGCGGTTTGCAGAGAACAACAAGTGCACCGTGTGGTCCTCCAAATCACTCTTGTTCTCCAGGTAAGCCCCAATCAGCTGTCCGATCGTCGTGGTCCTGTCTGCATGAAGAAAACCGCCCCGGGACAACACGTCAGACACGTTAAAGCCAGAGGAGAACTTTAAGCTCCTTCGGTGAAAAACGGAAAGCATTCTCACCGGGGAATCTCATCATCTCAGCCGGCCTGCCGCTCTGCTGCAGAGCTTGAACCAGCTTGCTGCACTGCGTGGTCTTCCCGGCCCTGTCCACCCCCTCCAGCACGATGAGCGCTCCTCTCTTACCCGCCATCTCCGACCACTGTCCGTCAGTGCTGCGGTGAACGTTGCAGAAACCACGAACAAACTGAAGCCAAGCCCTAGAAACAGACCTGTGCCCTATCACCATTTGCCGCCTTTTCCTAAAACAAAACGTCAACAAGGAAACACAATGACGCACTTCCTGTTTCACTTCGTCACGTTTCAGCCAGCCCATTAGCTCTCCGACTGCTGCCCTCTACTGTTTACCCATCATCCCCCTTCACAGATCATTTAGATTTTGCCTACAACACCGTGTAAATACTCCGTCAGTCTGTTTGAATTAGAATATCCAAGAAAAGCAAAAATGCAGGAAAGAAAACTCCTACAACTGCTCCAATATCTATGGAAAACTGCTCTCTACTTCCTTGGCTGTACTTAGAACTTCATACACTTAATCACAAGCAACAGTTATGCTGAATAAAACACGTTTTATTAGCACAGGGCAATTTACTGGCTGATTCACCTGTGAGTGTGCAGTGTCCCGAAGTTCGCTCTCAGATTGAAATCTCAACAAATCACAACAGCAATCTCCTTGAGATGCTTCATATTAGAGATTGATTTAAGGTAATAATACGGCGAAATAAGATGACAACCCCTCCTATAAGAGTTGGCGTTAACTCTCCAGGTATCTGATAGTCTGGATGTCGTTTTAAAAGATATTCCCAGATTTGGTGTTTTGATAATGGTGCTGGATAGCAAATAGACACAAAATGTCCCATAACTGTTTAGTTGTTTTTTAGAGCTGGAGGTCATAAAGACTATATATTTTTATTGTTTGCTATCCCTTTTTTGTCCCTTTGTGTCCGGTGGCACCCTGGAAGGGAACACTCCCATCAGGATGAAGGTGATCACTTAAAACTAATTCCAGCTAAATACCCACAGGTCCTGTAAAAGGTGATATTCAACACCTTTCTTTTTCTGATAGTATGGAGGGAAATAATCTGTTTCACTCCCTTTGACACAATGAATGAAATTAATCATTAATTCCTAGTTAAATAATTAGATATATATATATATATTTATTAAATTATAGCCTATTGATACGTTGGTTTGTTCTGTGAATGAACACAGCAAAAACAAAAGACCATAAAGCAGATGGGAGGGGGTGGAATAGGTTGTTTCCCATTAACAGAGACTGTCATGACAAGTTACTGTATTGTTAAAAATGTACTTAACTGCAATATATGTATGTATTTAACTTTAATATTTAACTGCACAACCACATGAGCACCAGATTTCATCCTTATGGGAAAATGATCTTTACAGCATTAGACACGTGTTACACTTTGCTCTTGTGACAGTGTTTCAGAGCATCTTTCAGTGCTGCCAGCACCATATCGACGTTCTCCCTGCTGCTGTTACATCCCATCAGTCCCACGCGGAGCACCTGGAAAACGACAAAAACATCCAATGTAAAACACACAGGCAGGAACAAATGTGTTTGGATGATGCATATTGGCACTCGATCATCATTTTCTCCTACCAAACCAACTGATGGTCCGAGCCCCCCAGAAATCTCCAGATTGTGTGTTTTCATTATGAAGCTTGTGATCTCTTTCCAGTCATATCCATAAGGAGCAACAATTGTAGTGACTGTTGGTAGCCTCAGACGCTGTAACAAACAGCTCATTATTTAATCTTATATAAGAAAGAGCTGCAAGCTTGATGTAAATTCCCATACAGATTATTATGATTATTCTAAAAACTTACCTTTTCTTTGACAAAAAGCTTGAGACCCATGCTCTCCAGGCCAGCATGGAAATATTCGGCTACCTTCAGATGTCGTTCCCATGAATTCTCCAAACCCTTAAAAAAATTGAATTATAGAATTAAAGCTAAAAAATTCACAGACAATTCGCAGACACTAGGGAGCTGCAAGTCATCAACCATATCTCAATTTTCAGAGTACTGATCACAAAAGTGTGCTCTACAGCTGTGCTGTGAAGCTGCATGTTCAGCTAAATTCTAATGCTGGATGACATGAATATTTAACAGGGGAAAGTGTTTCATGTTCACTCTTAGACTAGTGTGTTAGCACTTTTCATATTAGCATTAGGCACACAATACCAAGTCTGGTGGGAATGTCACATTGTTGGTATTCCAATCAAAGCAGTGGATAAATTAAATTTTGGCCTGATAACTGTTGGAGACTGTAGAAATATAACGATCCTAAAGTTGGTAGGATTAATTCTCTGAACATGATCATCAGTACAAGGCTGAAATATTTTAGCCTGCACAAAAGCCAAACATTTGTTCACTCATTAATTAATTATCTATTAATGAATTCATACACTACCGTGTGGCTGTTTTGACAAATTGCCCCTGACATCAACACTCTTGGGATCACTTAACCAAGTAAACCCCTCCACCATGGATCTAGAAAGCTGTGGTGGTTTGGGCATCTAACTACAAAAGCCACTTCCCTCTCCTCACCTGAGGAGGTGGCTGAGGGCTGTCTGATCATACCTGCTTAGACTCCTGTCCTGCAACTCAGACTGAGATAAGCAGGATAATAGATATTTTTCCCCCTCTATGGGATTCCCAAGACAGTTACTGAACCACATAGGATCCAGCTGCTTAACTGGAGCTTAACTGTATGGGCCATAAGAAGTGCTCAACTGGTGGGAGGTGTCTGCAGATTTCCTCAACAAACTGAGTTCTGCATCTGCAAAGTTCTGACTGTTGCAGCTGGACTAATTATTCTCTCTTTTTTGATTCAAGAAAAGTGAGGGGTCTATATTTCGCATTCACTCTGCAACTCATCTGTTTAATAAAAGTCAGGATTTTAATTGAAAATGTGACATTTGCTTAGTGACACCAAATGTTTTAGCTGCAGTGCTTTTATCTCAGGTTTCCACAGAGGAGATACGCTCTGTTTCCATTACTGTATTCTGTACTTCATTAGTTAATTGCATAAAATGTTAAAACTGCAGGCTCATGAACCCTTTTAATTGCTAGACATGTCTCACCTCTTCAACAAGGACAGACAAACTTTCCCTCAGAGAGTAAAAAGCAGTGACAGGACCTGTGTGGTGATATCTATGAAAAGAGACAAAGCAATACCAAATGATCTTAGTAATAGGTTAAAAGTGAGCCTGAAACACGGTCCAGTCTGCAGAGAAAGTCTTACACTCTTGATGGCTTTCCATCACATCCCCAGTAGTTTGCCAGCCAACTCAAATCCAAGTAAAATGACACAGGCTTTGTCCTTCGGCTGAAGATTTTTTGGCTGTGGATAAATTTACCTTTAAATACTTATGGTACCCTATTATTCTGAATGAATAAAAATGATAAAAATGTGCAGTTCTTACCATGCTCTCTCACTGAAGGAAATCGGTGCTGTACCTGGTGGAGCATTCAGAACCTTTTGGGAGCCTGTATACAGGATATCTATCTCTAAAAGTACAAACATCGACAGAAAAATCCACATATATTATTTCATAAAATAAAGACTGGAAACATCTGGCAGGATTTTTCAGTGCACCTTGCTGGTCCATGTAAACAGGGGCTCCTCCAATTGATGCCACAGAGTCAACAAGAAACAGGCAGTTATACCTGCAAGCAAATCACAAAACACCTATATCATCTGTCTAGCTGCAGATGTGGTGATGGCAAAGTGCTGTGTCTTACTTATGGCACAGCTGTCCGATGCCATCTAAAGGATGCAAGACTCCCGTAGAAGATTCTCCGTGTGCCACAAAGAGCAGCGCAGGTCTGTGTTTGGATAAAGCCTGCGGTGAGATAACAGTGTGATTACACAAGTGGCAGCAGTGACAGAAATGATTAAAGTAGCCTGATAACTGGAGCATCAGGAAACAATACCTTTTCCATCTCTTCAATAGTGAAGCAGCCACCAGGAGGAGCCACTATAGTGTTTACTCTCGCACCTGCAGGTTTGATACACATGCGTTTTTCTTAATTAACTGTTTTTTTAATTACACCAATGAAAGCCACCTTAAAAAGACAGCAGCAGTAATACTCTGTATTTTTATCATCAAATCCTGTGGAAAGACCTATGGGAGATTATTTAATTATGTTCCACAATGCTCCGTTATTTTCCTAAAAGTCAGTATAATGCACTGCCTGACATGTTCGTTACTGTGGACATGCTGCATATACTAGAGCAGCTAATGAGTATTCACCATAGACTGCATATATGGCTCATGGTTCCCTTATTGTATGACCTCAGTAAAAACCTTTCTCAGGAGATTATAGGTTCAGCTGCTAGCACAACATTAAGTTAATGTTTTAAACAGCTATGATGGCGTCTGTGAAAATGTTCAGCTTGACTTGCAGTGTGCTTTGGTGTCATGCATGTTGTGCCTGTCACAATTTGTGTAACCTGGAACTCACACAATGGCCCGGGTGGAGGCACAGTTGCGTGAGAGAGACAGTTTCTTAGGCGATTTCAGAGATTAGCAGATGGCACACATCAACTTTGCTGTACATTTGGAAAAGGCGTGAAAGTATTCCACAGCAAAAGCTCTTTTTGAACAGTGCCCATCTGTTGTAGGAAATTATATTTTTGAATTTGGTTATCTTCCAGGATTTGTTAGGTACAAATGATACAATGAGCCTTACCTATCCTCTCTGCCATCTCAGCTGCTCTCTCCCCCCAGATTCCATTCACAGCTACAAGCACGCTTTCCCCGGGCTCCACTGCATTGAAGATGGCGCACTCCATAGCACTGTGGCCGGTGCCACTCACAGCTAGAGTCATTTTGTTTTGAGTCTGGAACATATACTGGATCCCACTCTTGATGTCGTTCATTATCTGTAATTGAAAAAGTTTGGTGTAACGAGTAGCGATCTGATGTTAGAACCATTCCCAATCTTTGTCTAGCACAGACAGCATGCAACCCAAATATAGATCCTAGTCATTGGTGTTAAACCTCTGAAGTTACCTCGAATATCTCTGGATGCATGTGTCCAATGACAGGGTTAGCACCAGCCTCCAAGATCCGTGAAGGGACGTTTGAAGGTCCCGGTCCAAACATGTGACGATAGGGAACAGTCAGAGGTTTCTGCAGGCATTTTGGTGGCGGTACAGAGATGGACGACATCTTCCCAGCAGTGTAACAAGCAAAACAAAACCGCAAAGAGCCGTGGAACCAGAGAAACCACACCTCAGCTTAACACACCTCTCTTTCTGACCAGTGAGCACCACAGGTCAGAAGACCATCATAACATGTTCTGCTTTTATCTTTCTCTTCTTATGTCAACACTTGTTGGTCTCTCTGTGTAATGAGCTCGTGTAGTTTGATTTGTTCTCATTTTTCAAGATAAGCAAGTGATCCTGCATGTCCCGAGATGTTAATCATTGACCACCAACTGAGTCTCAGGTTTAACTATTAAACTGCAGTGTTCCTAAAACATTAACAGAGTTTGTTTGCTAAAAAAAATTCACTTTGTAAGATGATATTTTAAATGCATTAATGAACCTTAATTAAATCTATTACATCTCGGGTCATTAAGAACCCAACAATTCTCTCATAAGGAAATAGTTGATGAGGAGAAACTCATTTTTAACAGGATGAAATCTCCTGTTAAAACAAGACTCAGTGGACAGCCTTCTACTTTTAAATATCCTAGGAACCACAATCAAATCAGCAGTCTGTGAGTAAAGTGCTCTATTGGGAGAGTATGGCCCTTTAAGATTTGTCATTATTCAAGACCTTGTATGTGAGGAGAAGGATTTTAAATTAGATTCTGGATTTAACAGGGAGCCAATGAAAGGAAGCCCATATGGGAGAAATATGCTCTCACTTTACTCCCTGTCAGTCCTTTCACTGCAACATTTTGGATCATCTGAAGGCTTTTCAGGGAGCTTTTAGGACAACCTGATAATAATGAATTACAGCAGTCCAGCATAGAATTAATAAATGCATGAGCTAGTTTTTCAGCGTCACTCTGAGAAAGGATGTTTCTAATTTTAGAGATAGTGCACAGATGAAAGCTTTTGCTTGAGTATTCTTTTGAAGTAAATATGCGGCATCGTAATTACATTTTTCTGTGCAGTTAAAATGCTAAAGTTCAGCAGAAGTTTTAGTTTTTTAAATGACCCTTAGGCCAGTTTTTGTTTTCCATTATTATGAGGTCAATAACTTTTTAACCATCACTCAGTGAGAATCAGTGGTGAATTGAATATTTGAGGTTTATTATGACAGCTTGTCATTGTGCTTCACAGTTGGGCCTGATTTGTCTTCTGAGGGATGAGGAGATGCTTCCCCAGAGGTTCGGCGCAGAAGCTGCCATCTTCGTACACGAGCCGTCCCCTCAGGATGGTGGCGCGCACGGCCCCTTGCAGTTTGAGGCCAAGGTAAGGAGTCAGCTGATTGCACAGTCACAAACAGCAAACTGTTATACAAACAACACTCGTCAACTCATCATACAGTGTTTATGTTAAAATTTTCTCAGTGATTGTATTTACCTTGTTTTTATGATGTATGTTTTCTTCTTGAATCTGTGAAACACAGCAAAGGATGAAAGACATCTGCCTCAGGATATGATGACTGTTTATGGTTTCTTACCTCAAACTCTCTCTCTGGGTCCCACACGACCAAGTCGGCATCATAACTGGGGGCAAGGCAGCCCTTCCGGCTGTCGAGGCAACACAGCTGAGCTGTTTTTTGGCTCAGGAGCCTCACAACATCAAGGAGCTGAAAACCTCGTTTACTGGCTGAACTCCAGAACAGAGACAAGCCTGAAAGCGATGAGAGTAATAAAGAAGATCACTGAGAACTGAACTGAGACTAATCAAATCAGAGTTTTTCCACTCCTTAATTCTATTTGTCCTTTAATAATAAGATTGTATGAGGCGAAACACTGCGTATCACTGTCACGAGACGTGTTGGTGTCACACTTTGACCGCTCTCTCACTGAGGCAGAACAGTAAATGATTGCTTTAAACTGGAACTCGTTCATGTTTACCTTCCTGTGAACTTTGACTGACTGTCAGTGATTGTCAAAAGCATTATGGGGATATGTGGGGGCAGGGGGCAGCTAATCCAACCCAAAAGAAAAGAAGCATATCCCTGTAATATTCCACGGATTAGAATTCATTTGTAATCCATCCATCCATTTTCTTCTGCTTATCTCATTCAGGGTCGGGGGGTTGGAGCCTAACCCAGCTGTCATACAGTGAGAGGCAGATTACACCCTGGACAGGTCACCAGTCTGTCAGAGGGCTAACACACAGAGACATCATCTCTTCTATTCATATCAAGTGGTTGATTCTCACTAGAGCGTTCACTATTATACGAGGTACTATAAAAGTGCTGAAAGTGCTGTGATTATAATTGTATTGTCTGAAACACTACGTTATGTTGCAGTAGTTGAGTAGAATAGTTTCGCCATCTGCAGTTACTATTGATGCGAATGCCTGTTAACAATTCACATTACTGTCATCCAAATACAGTTTTGGCATTTGGTCTTTCCATTGCACCAAACAAATACTTGGAAAGTTGCAGCAAGACCTCCTCAGGATACAGAACAGATCACGCATCTGACATGACATTAATTATGGAGGAGAGAGGCTTGCTGAGGCAGCAGTAACTGCAGGCAGGTGGCATCAACTTTGCCGGTATGATATGCAGAAGGGGTTGATGTAGGCTGCTGAGGTCCCGGGACCGTGGCAGACATTAAGGTCTGCCTGCCTTTTTGATAGTTGCTACTGAATATTAAATATTCTGCATTTGTGTTTGGACGAGTCAGTACCAAACTGTAAAGAAGAAATCCCTCCCCAAGCCTGTGTGAAGTCTCCACTGTCCAGTTTCTTCAAGTCGGTGGTGCAGGGGGAGTGGTCTGAGACCACCATGTCAATCTGTCCAGCTTTCAGCGCAGACCATAGCTGCTCCTGGTGGGGAAAAAAAAAAATTCAGTCAGAGAGTAGCTTTTTGTTGTTGTTTGCTGAAAATAGTCAACTTTGTGTCTTCTGTACATATGATTGTTTACTTGGTTAACAGATCCTCTGATGGGTGGGCAGCACTTAAATTGCGTGGCCTCTGCAGGTATGTCTTCTGCACACAGGCTGAGATAGTGGTGGGTGGTCTCCACAGTCAGAGGAGCTCCAGCCTGCCGTGCTTCCTCAATCAGTTTCAGTGGCTTTGCAGAAGACAAGTGAACTATGTGGCAGCGAACCCTGGAGCAGGGATATTATAAGAAACATCAGTGTCTCCCTTTGGTTGATTTTCTTATGGAATGACTATTTTTTTCCTGCTACAAACAGAACCTATACAAATATATGAACTATGATATTATGGTTATTCGTTAACATGATGATTTTCTCACCTGTACTGCAGGCAAAGCTCTGTGACAACACGAATAGCTTCGGTTTCCATGACGTCTGGCCTGGACCGCAAGAAGGTGGAGTACTGGCAAGGGTCTAACATGGGGTTGGGTAAGAAAATATCAGTGTTTATTAGTGTAAAAACAAATAAAAAGGATAAAGGATGAATGAATTTTGGACACTGACTACATTATATTTTTAAGTATTTTCATAAAACACTGTAATGATTGTTACCACCAGTCTCTCCTTTTCCTTCCCAAACGTCCCTCTCTGCATGAAACTGGAGGAGACAGGAGAAAAAGGCTTATTTTTTTATTTCATCTGGCAATGTTCTGTGTGCAAACTAAAGGCAAATCACACACAGAGTAAGAGAACTTAATGTTACGTAAGACGTTTTGGTTTGTAAATTACCAGCAGGACGCTTCCTGTGCCTTGCAGCTGCTTCATGGCTGTATGTAGATCGCTGTCATTTACATGGGGGAACTCATCCACCCCGCTATGGATGAGAAAACACTTGAAGCCAGCCACTCCAGCCTGGATCATTGGACGTAGATGGAGCTGCAAGGAGACATTCATGGAGCGTTTTCTTTAGTCTTGATTTTTTGTGTTTGCTTTTTTACAACCTGGCCTGTTTGTAGAGTTCATCATGCTAAAGCTGTGCACACATTACCTGATTGCCAGGGACCACGCCTCCCCAGAAGGCTACATCCACAAAACACTTCCCTGTTGCCTCCCGCAGCTTCTCGTGAAAATTTCCAAGAGTTGTGGTGGGAGGGATGCTGTTTCTGTGTGAATAACAAAGGCCTGATGAGAGCTTCATGTCTACTGTTTAAAAATAATCTTTCTAAAATGGTCCCAGGCCAAAGCCAAAAATCTTTTCAGCCATAGAATAAAACATAAAACTGATAAAGACGACATGTTACGTTACTATTACTTTTTTCATTATTTGTGCTATATTTAACCCGTCAGGCAAGACTGCATCGTTATGTTTTGTTTTCTAGCTTTAAACTTTTTCCAGTTACCCTAAACTCATTCACTGTAAGTATAATTCTTAGAATAAAGTGTTGCTCACAAATAAAAATTTCAGCCTTGACATTTTAAACCAAGCCATTGACGTACAGTGCTTCTCAGATTCATTTTGATGTTTGCCTGAGGAAAACAACATTTATTTTGCAGTCCGTTTACCCTGCACGCTCTGCCAGTGACCTTGTCTGATCAGACTGCAGGGACTGATTTCTGAATTGGTGAAGTCTCCAACTTACAGCGGCATGTCCACAATCGTCGTCACCCCTCCGGCTGCTGCAGCTCTGGTGGCGGTCCAGAAACCCTCCCAGGAGGTACGGCCTGGTTCATTCACGTGAACGTGGCAGTCTACAATGCCTGGCATCACCACGCTGTCACCCACATCCAGCACCTTCCAACCACAGAAAAGTTTTTTAAACAATGCAATGAATCAAGCATCTGAGAGAAATAAGATCTTCAGGAGTGTTAAATCAGTGAATTACAATTTTACAGACAGGCGAATTATCCTGAGCAGTGTTCTGAGAAGTGAGACCCAGCTTACCTGACAGGCCACATCCTCAGAAAAGCTGCAGCTCGAGACTATTTCATGTATCTTCCCATCCTTTATAACTACAACTGCAGGACGTACTTTGTCACCATCCAGCACCCTCGTACTCCTCACAGCACTGACTGTTGATCCGAGTTCCATGTTTCTTTTTTATTGACTGTTATTGAGTTGAGTACCCTAGACTCTCACTAATATTCCTCTGAACTCTAGATAAAATCTGAGCAGCTCAGTTGCCCTATGTGGAGGCACAACCCTCTACTGAACGGGCTTATTGACCTTTGTTTGGCCACGTGACATGCAGGGCCAGTCATGCACGGTTTGTCACGGAAAAGAGGGACCCAGGCGCGGTTCTTGCTCACAGAAACACAGTGCGTTTATTTACAGTGAAACAGACAAGTCCAACAATCCATTCAAAAGTGCAATTTTCCAATCGTGCTCGTCCCTTGCTCCCAGTGCGTTCCGTGTAGTAACTCCCTTAGTGTGCTCCCCAACTCGCTTCTCCGCTCGCCCCTCCTGGAGGAAGAAGGAAAATCCAGCGTTAGCCACACGCTAGCCGAATAACACACTCACACAGACTATACCAGTTCGGAGTAATAATCCCACGTCGACTGTCGCCGTGAGTCCAGGTTAAATACCCCTTTCTAGCCTGGAGGAATGATTACCAACCACTGGTCAGGTAATCAGCTGCAGGTGGGCCGGCAACAGCGAAGAGGGACTCCCAATGACGACAGTCGCCAGGACACGCCTCTCCCACGGCGCGCACTTCCGTAAACAACCCCGAGGGCCAGGGAGGGAGAAGCAAACACATATACAGAAAACATAAACACAAGCAGGGTCGTCCGGAAAGGGCCGTCCGACCGTGACAGTACCCCCCCCCCCCCCCCCCCTCCCTCTAATGGGAGCCTCCGGGCGACCTGGCAAACTTGTCCGGATGCCGGCGGCGGAATTCTCTCACCATGCGATGATCGAGAATGGCAGACCGCGGCATCCAAGAACGTTCTTCCGGACCGTACCCCTCCCAATCCACCAAAAAACTGAAAGCCCCTACCGCGGCGCCGGGCATCCATTATGCGAGTAATGGAATACGCCGGGGCGCCGTCGATAATCCGGGCGGGTGGCGGGGGCCCAGGGGGCGGGCACAAAGGGCTGGTCCGGACGGGCCTAACCTGAGAAACATGGAAGACGTTATGTACCTTCATAGCAGGCGGAAGGGCCAGCCGGACCGTCACCGGGTTCAGGACCTCCTGGATGGCAAAGGGGCCAAGAGACCGAGGGGCCAGTTTCTTGGACTCAGTCCGAAGAGGGATGTGCTTGCCGGAGAGCCACACTCGCTGGCCGACCTGATAATTCGGAGCAGGAGTGCGACGGCGATCCGCCAATGCCTTGTTCCGCTCGGCCGTTCTCAGGAGTGCTGCGCGTGGCCCGCCAGACCCGACGACAGCGCCTAAGGTGGTGCTGGACCGAGGGAACCGCCAGCTCTCCCTCAGAGATGGAGAGGAGAGGGGGTTGATACCCCAGCGACGCCTCGAAGGGCGAGAGTCCAGTCGCTGATGACGTGCTGGCGTTGTGGGCATACTCCACCCAGGCCAACTGCTCGCTCCAGGTCGCTTGGTTCGATGATGCGACGCAACGCAACGCAACATGGCCTCCAGTTCCTGATTGGCCCTTTCGGTCTGACCATTAGTTTGGGGGTGGAACCCGGAGGACAAACTGACCTGAGCTCCCAATTCTGCACAGAACTCCTTCCAAACCCGCGAGGTGAACTGAGGGCCACGGTCGGAAACGATGTCCTGGGGTATGCCGTGGAGCCGAAACACATGCTGCGTCAGTAACTGGGCCGTCTCCAAGGCAGAAGGGAGCTTGGGCAGAGCAATGATGTGGGCAGCCTTGGAAAAACGGTCAATAATGGTTAGAATGGAGGTGTTACCTGCAGAGGGAGGCAAGCCGGTGACGAAGTCCAGAGGGAGGCAAGCCGGTGACGAAGTCCAGAGGGAGGCAAGCCGGTGACGAAGTCCAGAGGGAGGCAAGCCGGTGACGAAGTCCAGAGGGAGGCAAGCCGGTGACGAAGTCCAGAGGGAGGCAAGCCGGTGACGAAGTCCAGGGCGATGTGCGACCATGGGCGTTTTGGAGTGGGTAACGGTCGCAGGAGGCCAGAAGCAGGCGAGTTGGTGGTTTTGTTCCGTGCGCACACCGGGCATGCCGCAACATAGTTCTGGACATCGAGAACAAGAGAGGGCCACCAAAACAAACGTCGTAGAAAGGAGACAGTGCGATTTTTACCTGGGTGGCACGAAAACTTGGCAGTATGTGCCCAGTGAATGACCTGACTACGCGCTGTGGCCGGAACATATAGTCTCCCTTTCGGGCCCGTGCCAGGGTCGGGCTCCTGTCGCTGGGCGTCCCTGACCACCTTTTCAATCTCCCATGTTAGTGCACCCACAATGCAGGTGGGGAGCAGGATGGGTTTTTCCTTCTCGTCCTCATCGGTCACGGGTGCGAACTGGCGCGACAACCCGTCTGGCTTAGTGTTCCTAGAACCGGGCCTGTAAGTAATGGAGAAGTGAAAACGAGTAAAAAAATAAGGCCCACCTGGCTTGTCGGGCGTTGAGGCGCTTGGCTGCCTGGAGATACGCCAGATTTGTGGTCCGTCCACACCACGAAAGGCTGCTCAGTGCCCTCCAGCCAATGTCGCCATTCCTCAAGGGCCCACTTGATGGCGAGCAACTCCCGGTCGCCCACGCAGTGCTTTCTCCTCCCAGCCCGACTCCTCCGCCAGGATCCAGAACTCCACGGAAAAGTCAGCAACACTCCTCCTACCTTGCTTCAGAGAAAACATGCGATGACCTGCAGCATCCGAGCTAGCGCCTTTATCAAACACACAGCGAAACTTGCTGAGAAAGACGTCATATGACACAGAGGGCTGGGTATTTAAAACTGCCTGAGCCCATTGAAGCGCCCGCCCAGTCATAAGTTGCACCAAATAAGCGATTTTAGTAGAATCAGAGGCAAAGGCACAAGGTTGCTGTCTAAACACAAGAGAGCATTGCGTCAAAAAACCCCGGCTCCTCCCCAACTCGCCATCAAATTTTTCGGGTGCGGGGAGTGAGTACTCCCGCTGCCGCGGTGGAGATGAAGGAGGAAGCGGACAGGCTGCCGCGGCTTCCAGCGAAGGGGCGGGCTGCGTTGGAGCCGTATTAGGTGAGGAAATCAACATACCTTTAAGCTCTGTCATGGCTTGCAGAAGCGCGGTTTGTTCCTTTGAAACGTGCTTCAGCATTTCCTCGTGTCGCTCCAAAACCTCCGCTTGGATAGACAGCTGGCGTGAAGCAGAATCCGCTGGGTCCATGGTGGTGGGATTATTCTGTCACGGAAAAGAGGGACCCAGGCGCGGTTCTTGCTCACAGAAACACAGTGCGTTTATTTACAGTGAAACAGACAAGTCCAACAATCCATTCAAAAGTGCAATTTTCCAATCGTGCTCGTCCCTTGCTCCCAGTGCGTTCCGTGTAGTAACTCCCTTAGTGTGTGTGCTCCCCAACTTGCTCCTCCGCTCGCCCCTCCTGGAGGAAGAAGGAAAATCCAGCGTTAGCCACACGCTAGCCGAATAACACACTCACACTGCTCGCACAGACTATACCAGTTCGGAGTAATAATCCCACGTCGACTGTCGCCGTGAGTCCAGGTTAAATACCCCTTTCTAGCCTGGAGGAATGATTACCAACCACTGGTCAGGTAATCAGCTGCAGGTGGGCCGGCAACAGCGAAGAGGGACTCCCAATGACGACAGTCGCCAGGACACGCCTCTCCCACGGCGCGCACTTCCGTAAACACGGTTTGTATGAAATTTCACAAGTAGGACCATAAAATATACTGATTCTAGAGGACATATGACAAATTGTGAGCATGTTGAGTGGTGTCTGATACTGCATGTACTAATACTGATACTTTTTCTTTTAAAGGCATTTTCATACTTCATGTTTGAGACAGATTTTTTTCAGCTCCATTTAAATATTTCATTTAACATATTTCAGGGGGCTTATTTGAATGTCTGAATATAGTATAGTAATAGATATGATGACCAATATCACTTTTAAAATTAATTCAATTAAACTTTATTTATATAACGAAAACCACAACAGGAGTCATCTCAAGGCACTTTATACTGTAAGGTAAAGGGCTACAATAATCTATTATTTGTTTGATCGTATTTTACAATGAAACGGATTTAACTTAAAAATGTAGATTTACACTTTTTTTTTTTAAACCGAATCAGTTTTGAGCACACATCTGCGCCGATTCTGACAAGTATTTAAAAAAATAAAAATCTCGTGCGCAAATCCGACAGATGTGATCCTCCTCACCTGTCATCACTGCAGCCTTCTGCTGGCTTTGGCTGTCTGTGGGCGTGGGGTGAGTGTGAGGGATGGAGGCTGACAGGATTCAGCTTGAGCAAGCCTCCATCCCTTCATCCTCCCGGCGATGCGCTGTGCGTTATGACGCCAGGCCGTTTGACGAGCGCATTACGTGGGGCTGTCAGAGCAGCACAGCAGCCGCGTTATGTAATGCATCGGGTGTTGCTGCACGGATCTCAAGATCTGGAGGAAAACTGACGGATGGCTGATTTGGTAACAAATAACCGCGTGCCGGCGTTTGACTGAGCTTACAACTACAATGCTAACTGTAAACTGTAGGAGTGCAGTGTGATAGAGCCTGACTGGGACATCGGTGCCCATCCCTGAGGTGCACAGACGTCTGGAGCCTGCGGAAGCTGCACATCTTTTTTTTTTTTCTTTAGCCGGCCGCTGGCGCGTCTCTGTTCAACGTGTTCTCTTATCTCAGTGGAAATAAACCAATGCGGGTTTGGCTGAGGGAAGAAACAACATCGTCTTTTGTTCTTTATTGCGTTGGTTTGAGCCAACAGCCGCTGAGCTGTGGTATAAACAATGGCGGGTCCCGAGCAGTCCCAGCAGCAGCAGCAGGTAGAGGAGAAGGCAGAGCACATAGATGATGCTGAGATGGCTCTGCAAGGCATTAACATGCTGCTCAACAACGGCTTCAAGGAAAGCGACGAGCTGTTCAGGAGATACAGGTAATTATTTTGCGCATTAATCGCTGCAATCTTGCTGAAGTCTACAATTTAGTGACATTTTTTAAGTCTGAAACACTATATACACAGTACAGTATGTCCCTATGGATCCACATATACCTCAAACGGAAGAATATTTTTTAAAGAACTTTACTATCTTTGAGGATCTGTCTGATTTATGTCACCACCTTTAAAATGGAAGTCATAGCACTAGAGTTGAAATTAAGAAACCAGGTGACAGATATAACAAGTTAAGAAATCAAAGAAAATGTTAAACGATGTCAGTTACTTTATTACTGTATTTTCTATCATGAAAGTATTTGGTGATTTTGTAGTACATTGTAATAAATGTAAATCAGTTTAAATGTATTTTAACTTATTGGTCGAGATAAAACATTTTGGGATTTCAGCTTTAGCTCTGAAGAGTCGTGAAGGATAAAGGATATTTTTTCTGGCACAACAGATTAATGATACTTGTTTGTTGCAGCCCTACGTGGCCTCGCTAAATGTATGCACTGAGACACTTGCATTTTTCTCCTTGCATGTCAGACAGATAGTCCTTGGCAGCGGTCATGACAGCTTAAGATGAGACTTGTTTCTGCTCTGTTTGTGCCAACAGAAAAAGTTACTGTCTGCAGCTCCTTTTAAAAATGTTCATCTTGGTTTTGCAGGACACCCCAAAAATACACAAAAAGCATAATAAAGATTTTTTTTCTTGTTCTCTGGTTTTTTGTTTCTTCACAGGGGCCAGAGCCCATTGATGAGCTTTGGGGCCAGTTTTGTCAGCTTTCTGGTGAGTTTTCTTAGCCAGTAGTCCAAAAAAGTTGGTAGAAAAAATAGCAATGCACTGAAAGAGGTGTGAAAGATGCAAGAGCAGAGTTAAAATAATGGCCATCCCATCGCAGTTCACCCAGGTATTAGGACCTCATTGTCACCACTACATCCTCTCCTTTGATTTGCTTTTAAATCCATTAACATAATGGATGCTTCCTCCTCTCAAGATCAGCATCACTCTTGCAGTGAAGCACATTACTGAAATGCTTCAATAATGGCAGAAGGAGATTTTTCACAGTATGGTTGTCACACACACACACACACACACTCACAGACACTGCTGTGTCACTCCCACTCGTGTCGACACTCGCACAGCATGATGTCATCCTCTGTCCCCAGATGCTAAATGGCCCTGAAGGCTGTCGGGGGTGCTGACATCTGACCAATCATTGCAGGCACTCACACATGCCCAGTGGCATTTAATGCATCATGCATAATATTATTACAAGCTAGTATAAAACCACAAAATTAATTTCTTATGTCAATGTAAGAAATTATTCTTGTTTTATATTTAGCATTTCACCCTGTGTGTGTATTCTGCTGGGCTGCATCTTTTCAGCCATCCCAAACACAGCTGCACAGATGTCACCGTGTTCCTCCATTCATTATTTTGTAGAAAGAGCCCTTTGTCCTTTCCTGCTTTTAAAGCTATTACATAATGCTCCTTCACTCTTAGATTGTAAGCTAGCTAATGCATAAAAATGCCTTACAAAACAATACAAATTCATATCAAGATAGTACTAATGTGAAGCAATGAAATATCACCAGACAAGGACTTTTTTCCTGCCTTTCACTGCAGAATGCCATGATGACATTTGAGGAGGAGAAGATGCAGACTGCCTGTGATGATCTGAGGACCACTGAGAAACTGTGTGAGAGCGACAGCGCTGGAGTCATAGAGACAATCAGGAACAAGATTAAAAAGAGTGTAAGTGCAACGCTATTAAAAAAAAGGAAGAATTCAAAGTGTATATTATAGGACTTTCTGGAGGGCGCTGAAAAAAAACTGTAGACAAAACTGATAAGAGAGCTTCCATTACATTTGGGGCTGAACTGAAATCCAGAGATACTGTTAGTACAGATTTAGATGGATTCCACTGTTGCTGGCATCTTCTTGTATCACGGGCGGTACAGGCTGCAATCCAGATAACTATGTTAGGATCCTCAGCTTTAGGCGTAATGATGCAGGCAGCAATGAGATCATGCCAAACTCACTCGCAGATTCAATTAGTACTCCTGGGAAATTTAATCAACAAACTGGGTGAGGAGTGGAGGGTCATTCAGGAAACTCCCCGTCCCTCATGCCTGCCAACCGCTGGGGAAATGAGATGCATGCTGGCAACTAAAGACGTGTGCCTGTGTGTGCGTGTTACAGATGGACTCTCAACGGTCCGGCGTTGTTGTCGTGGACCGCCTGCAGAGACAGATAATCGTCGCCGACTGCCAAGTATACCTTGCTGTGCTCTCTTTTGTCAAACAGGAACTCTCAGGTAATAAACAAAGAACCATCACAAGCCGGTATGATCTGAATCTGCATCATTCATGAAGTAAACCAGTGTGTGGGAAAGTGGGGGGTTAGATTGCTGTTGGTCTATCATGACTAGGTTTGCTTGATTGTTGAACTTGTACTTGACATTATAATTCTGATTATTTTGCATGATTCATTAACTTAACGAACCTGTGGGATGTTCTTGAACTTTAAATTTAACTCAAGTGAAAAGCTAAGAGAGGTGCAAGTGGTGACAGACACAGGGTTGGATGTTAGTGCCCTCAGAGGAAGAATCTTGTTGTTTTGGTTAGTAAAGCCTGTCCTGCAAGTGCAGTAGATGGTCCATGCTTGTCCACGACCTTCAGTGTAAGTGTCTTACACCGGAGGTCAGGCAGCAGACTCACCTGCCTTGGCGAATCTGTATAATAGCATAGATCAGAGTGATGGAGATTTGTCACCAAACACCCACTTACTCATATGAGTTTTGTTTTAAAAAGTGTTAAGCGATTAATGAAATAATAACACAGAAATTCAGCTCAATGGTTCTCAGGTGATCCTCATTTCTTATGTAATTTGCCGCCTGAAAGATGTGAGAGTGCAAATGTCTGATTCTGTCAAGATTAGACGTTCAAAGATCTGTAGCAGTGTAATATCCATGTGAGACTGTGTGAGATAGTGCAAGTAACTGGAGAGTTCACAGTGATTAAATTGTCATCTTTTGTCCTGTTCTCCTGCACACTCTACCAGCTTCTTCTGATTCTCAGCATTTTTGTTACAGATCATACACCAGCAGTGTATTTCCAGTATTTCCAGCAGTGAGAATCTTGCTACAGCAAACTAAATGAAGTATAGTTGTTTCTGGTCTGAAATTGACACAATTTGGCACTTAATAAAGTTAAATATTGAGTAAATGGTAAGAATTTATAGTCAGGCCTAAGACTTACTTTCATGGATGGGTTGTTGCAATCAGTTAGATAAATTAGCAATAAATTCAAAACCATAACAGAAGATTTAGAGTTTTTTATAGTTGTCTTCTGGGTTTCTGGGTTTGTTCTTCCACCTCAGCATGTCGGTGCAGAGCGTCCTCCAAAATATCTTATTTCCTGTTTCCACTGACAGCGTATATCAAAGGAGGCTGGATTCTCCGTAAGGCTTGGAAAATGTACAATAAGTGCCACAGCGACATCAGCCAGCTGCAGGACGCCTATCAGCGGAGGTCCTCTGGGAACCAGGATTCCCTCTCAGCAGACAACGCCAACCACAATACACCCGTGGAGAATGGTGTCACAGCCGAAGCCCTGGACCGCCTCAAGGGCTCAGTCAGCTTCGGTTACGGCCTCTTCCACCTGTGCATCTCCATGGTACCGCCACACCTGCTCAAGATTATCAACCTGCTGGGTTTCCCTGGGGACCGACTCCAGGGCCTCTCCTCCCTTATGTATGCAAGCGAGAGCAAGGACATGAAGGCCCCTCTAGCTACGTGAGTGAGCGGAGGTCTTACCGTTTATTACATCAGGCTCATTTCTACAGCAGGAACTCAGAGCAGAAGTTTTATATGTGAGCAGCTCCCTAATCTGCTGTTTCAGACCCTCTAATTCCATTGCAGAAAAGGACGATCCATAAAACTAAACTGAGGTGACATATTTTGTTAGTTTAAACAACATAAATATTAACAACAATAAAGGGAACAGAGATGGTTGATGGTTGATATCTGATGGTGACATTTCAGTGTAAAAATACTGCTATTTGAGCAATGCAGCTGCTGTTCTTCATCATCTTTTAGAAATGTTTTGTGCAACAAGCAAACAGTGCAGTTTTTCATCGGCACTCAGAAGTACCTTCATCTAAGCATGTACCCTTTCCCTTTTTAAAAAAAACAATCCTGAAGAGGTCCAGTGGAGGCAGTTACTGTTACTCAAACAGCATGCAAAGATGCCTGCATCCCTAAAATGGCCCACAAGTTCCTGCGGTAGAAAATGACCTTTAGGATAATAATATTATTATTAATAATAATAATAATAAACAAATTAGGAATTGCTGAGTGGTTCTTAATGGT